GATATGTAATCAAAGAAGTATTGTTTGGGAATGACTTAAGGGGAAGCAGAGTGGCTAACATTTGGCCCTGGTCCAGCTACTGCTGCAGCTGATGGCAGAGTTCCCGCTGACTCCAGGAGAAGCAAGAGCAGACCTTTTGTGTGGCAAGGACAAGCCTGCAAAAACACAATGCAAATGATGACAACCATGCAAATTGGGAAAGACAACAGGCTACAGATTCCTTATGTAGAGAATGTCTTTGCCTGGGTAAGACAGATTGACTGGAGGGCCGTGCTCCATTTCTGGGTCCAGCCTAGCCAGCTAGCACGGCTTGGTAGAGGCAGAATCCCACTGTGCACGAAACTGCAATTCCAAGGGTAGGGCTTTGCATCTTGACAGGTGATGCTGTAAGGGAGCTAACTAACAACATAAGCACAATTGCACTGGGTAGAAGAGCAGACCTAGCCAGCTGTTTGCTGTATCTGTTTGCTGTAGGAGGTGAAAGAAGAGCAGAAAACAGAGACTAAAAAGCACAGCACATCCCTTGGTACAACCACCCCAGCTTACCTGAGTCATCAATTTAGTAGCTATTTGGGCATTATCTGCATTTCAGAACACTGTGTTTAAAGACCATTAGGAGACCGGCAGTGTTAGTCTGATCTCCAGCTTTTTACAAATTTGGAAGGCAGGTCTCTGGGGAACAGGAAGCTAACCTCACTGGGTAACTTAGAGGGAGCCATGTAGACTCAAAGGCACAAGACCTGCTGTTATGTTGGTGTTAACAGGACTACAGGCTAGCAGATATACTATAGAGCATCTCTCTCAGACCAGCCCCTGAAAAAGGTGCTCTCCAGCTCTTTTCTGCTGTGCCATGAGCCATTGAAAGCGCTTCTCTCAGATATCCAACTAGTTTCCAGGACACTGCAGTTCTGGACTGCAGAGCCACTGCTGGGCTTCAGGTTTTGATTTGGGTTGGGCCCCCCTCAGAGAAACACTTCTCCCACTGAGCAGCAACAGCAGTGGTTGGTGCTCCTGAAAAGAGAAGAGCAAAGGCTTTGTATAGGTACCTTCATTCTGATTAGGAGCCAGCACAGGGGGAATCCACAGGTAGAAAAGTACGCTTCCAGGAAAGCCTGTGAAGGAAAATAAATATGCAGGATTCAGAAATCAGGGAAAAAAGGACAAAATAAAAGAGATTTGACAACTATGTTGGGACCTGCAAACAGGGCCACATCTGTTCTGGCAGTATCCCAAGTAGCAATCAGATCTGACATTCATAAAAGAAGCTTTCCCCATGCAAAGATTGGAGAGGTGTTCGATGGAAAAGCTGCAGTGTAAAGTATAGCTGCGTTTTCCCTCATTTTATGATCATATGGTTTACATTTATTGGGTGGAATTGAATAGCTACAGACTTGCCATTCACAGAGGAAAGAGATCATCTTACTTACAGTAAAAGTCTTGGGGCTTCTTTCCTTGAACGCATGGGAAGGGTGTGTTGGCCTTGACCAGTGAAACCTTGCGCAGTGCTCAGCAGGAACTGCAAGGTGGTTTTGCTTCAGTGCAAGCGTGAATGAAGGGCATGTGTGGACATAAATAACATTCAGCTGTTGGGGCGTTCTTCTCTGAGCAGAGGCAGCCCTGGTATTCTGACATCCCCTCCATGCCTTACACAACATAAGATCAGAAACAGGAAGGAGTAGGTGTGTGTGGAAGGAATGCCTCTGAGGATTCATTTGTCTACAGGAGATCCTTGGCATGAAAGTAAGGCTTTTGCCATCTGCCTACTTCATGTCCTCATTGCTAGGAGATGTCAGCTTGGTGTGTACTTGATCCTTATGTGGGCAGGCTCAGGTGCCTCTGTAGATCTTGCCTCAATCATTCCTGCTCTCCTTGCCCCATGTCCCATGGCAAGTTTTGAATTTTCTCTTTAAACATCAGCTGCTTGGTTTGGGCTGCTACCTGCCATTCCTTTGGCAGAATAAATCTCTATCCCCTGTAGCTGCAGGAGAGTTTGAAAACATAAATCCCAAATGTGCCAAGGCTAAACAGACAACAAAAAGAATTCAAAATATAAAATTTCTTATGGATTTTTAAAGGCTTTTCCATGATTTCTGATTGCTTAAGGCTGTAACAGTTTGCAGGCAATTCTCCTCACCAGCATTAAGCAAAATATAGCTCCAGTGTTATTTACTTGATCGCAGAGATTTTGGAGGAACATGTAGTTGAGTGAAGAATACCATTTAGCAATCAGCTGCATTTTTCTAACATAAAATGGAAAGCTTAAAAAACTCGGTATCCTTTGTGTCTCAGCTAGAAGTCCTTTCTCTAAGCCGATTTCTCTTTGTGCTAAATAATCCAGTCATTTTTGGTTTTAGACCTGAGCACTTTTTGTCAATATTGCTTTGCTTCTGAGGTGTAGGGATTTGTGACAGAAAAGAGAGCTAAAGGAACTACTGCATCAATCAACACTAGAGAAGGGTGAACATGGCTTTTGTAGCATTAACCATGTCCTATCTGTTCTCTGCAATGAGAGTAAAGAAGGAGCCAGCAATCAATTCTGGTGACATTCTACTGCTCTGCTGTAAGGCTTTTACATGAACAGAAATGGGTCAGTATGGAAAACTCCCTTACAGATTACTAACTGGTTAAAAATTGAAATGAAAAACAAAGAAAAAGCCACAAGCAGGGTACCAGAAATAGCCACAGACATTTCATGTGAGTGTGCCTCAATTTCTCCAGACATGCTGAAGTGTGATATTACTGATTACCTTTGCCACTTCTCTCCCACCTGGTCCATGAAGGAAAGGCTTATAGAGCATGTATTCGATTACTGTCCCAGAGGTGAAGGAAACAGGAGTGGGGAAGATAATATTAGGAAATTACACCAGTGATCTCGGATTTCTTTGGCTGTATTTTGACAGCTGAATTAACTTGAGTTATCAGTGTCCAAGTGAACAGCACAGCTTGCTCAGAAATGGCCATCCTGCAAAACTACATTGGAACTGCAGGAATGGGGTAGGTGATCAGCAGTGTGATTGCAGAGCAGCATGGAGATTTAGCTGGAAAAAAAAATATTTTGCCTCTTCATTAAAACTTGAGGTAAATCACACAAATCAAGAGCAGCATCACTTCTGACAATATTTTTCTTTATGTTTGAGAGTCTAGGTAGAGGTGACATTTTAGTTTTAGCTCAAGTTAGCTCTATATGAAAATAAAATGCTTTGATTCTTGGTTGCTGCCTTACTTCTACACTTCAGGTCACATCACTGCCATTCTCTTTACACAGGATTAAGAATCTGACTTTTTTAACCAACTGTGAAAACTTTACCCACCATTATGTGTGCCCACAGATATATTATTTCTTAAAAGAAAAATTATTCTTAGCACTTTACTGAAAAATGTTTTTGAAAAGCCTATTTCACTCCTCTTCTGAAACGTGTCCAAGCAGCTCTAGGAGAAACAGCTTCCGGGACTTAATACTTTACCTCAGATTCTTTCTTCTGAAGAACCAAGCTCAGTGCTGCTTTTGGAAACAAAAATCTCATTCCACATTCTTTGTTTATATATGTCTCATTTCGCCATTGAAAGAGAAAAGCAAGTTGTATCTGGCAGATGAAGTGATACTGGAGAATTAGCAGCATACATGAGAGCAACGTGATAATTGCTTTCTTCAGCCCAAGCCCGTCCAGCACCTAACTGCAATGGAAATAGAAGCTCCTCATGTTTTAAAGCACTGTGGAGTCCCCAGGAGCATGTGTTTGACACAGCAATGGAAATGGAAAACCATGAACTCATGAACTTTGAGGAAGTTCAGATTGTTATTACTGTTATGCAGTTACTTAAAAAAAAGTATTATCTTCATTCTGTTAAAGCCTTGAATTTTCCAAATGAGACCTCCCTTTCAGGAGGGAATCTTTATCTCTGTGTTCTCCAGCCCTGGCAAAGCTGCTTGTTTCTAATGTCTAGAGAAAGACTTTTTTTTCTGGGGAGAAGTCCCAACTGCAGACAGCCTAATTTGTTCTTGGAACATCTGAGAGTTTGGATTGCTGTGGGGGTCAGAAGTGTAATAATTCATGAGAATATGTGCTGAGCTGGGCTCAATTAGTCAGTCTTCTTTCTTCCCCGGTTGCCTTTTGGGAGGGACAGAGCAGAGTCTGGCCAAAGTTCATTGTGACACAGTACCTAGCAATGGCACTGCAACAAGCAGGTGGTAACAGTGCAGTGCTTCCCCTGCTTTCTGTGTGGATGCAATACAGCTTGGTAGGATAAGCCTTTCCACTGGACTGGTTGATACAAGCAGAACTTGTGATGCAGTTGCATGTATTTAAAGTGCTTTCTTCCATTCTTTGCTAGATATGCAGACAGTGAGCAATTCAAATGCACGGTTAGATCTTCATGGCCCTTTGTTCTATCAGAGATCACTGCTCTGCCAGAGCTTCTTTTTTTCCAGCAGCATATATAGCAGAAGTCAGCTATGAGATGAATCCTTCTTATTGAGGGAAAGCCTGGCTGTTATCTCTATTTGAAACACACTTTAGTATGCATTCAACCCAAGGAACAGCTGAGCCCTATGGTAGAAGGCTTTGAGCACAGTGCTGGCGTGTTCTCAGGTGGCTGCTGTTAATTTGTTGTGATATCTTAATTACTACCTGCTGGTTTACCCGAACTCTACAAAAAGTAGTAATAAGCTCAGGTGAGAGCTAAATGTTTTAATTCAAGCTTCAGGGATCTGGGGGGAGCTCAAAGCTGCTCCTGGATGCTCAAGTTGCTTTTATTTACGAGCCACAAATTGTTTTAAAAGTACTTAACAACTCATCAGTATCAAAGTGTGTTTTGATCAGATGCAGTAAGATTTTTGCACATCTAACCTCATACCTACATTTGAGTATCCTAATTGCTTCTAGTTGTTAAAGTGCAGATAAGCAAGAGATGCTGAAGAATATTTGAAACAGCAAGGAATTTCTGTTGTCTTTGTTCCCAGAAGCAGCTCTGCCATTCCAGGAGCATTCCCTTTTTGTGGAGAAATTGGGCAGTGAGTATTCTTTCAATAGAATAATGGGAAACTGAAGGACTTTGGCACAATTCTGTGCAAACAGCAATCTTTAGCTGGAGCTGTCAGTGACAGTTGTAGCCATAAAGAAAAGCCACATCTAATGCAAGTAAAGGTTTGTCACATGGTAAAACTTTGTAACATCTGCACTCTGGTATCATTAAAAGCACATAGCTCTGACTTGCTCTAGGACCTGACATAGAAAGCAGGGCTCTGGAGTGGCTCCGGTACACAAAGCATCATTAGGATTAAGGTATGTCTTTCCTACTTCTTTCTGCCTTGTGGGTTGAGTTCTTACTGTGGTGTTTTTAGTAAACAGTCTGTAATCGGGGAAGCATTAAAACAAATTTTGGTTCATTGTTTGTTGTTATTAAACTAAACATGGGGTAAGTTCATATAATTCTAGTGTTCTTTCTTTGCTGTTATCAATGGTGCAACCATTACAATCTCAAGCCATTAATATATACATTTATTAATTTTCAGAAATACCAGCTTTTATAACATTAGGTGAAGCCTCTGTTCAGTCATAGTTAGGTTTCTCTGTATAAGCAAATATTAGAATAGTAAGAAAACAAACTCAGGAGTTATGATATTAAACGTGTTTGGTATCTATATATATAGACATACACTGCACAAGCAGAAATTTTGTGTCACAGTGTTCTAGCTGGTACTGACCACATGCGACTGAAGGATTTAGACTTTTATAAACATTTATTTATTCAGCTTGCTGACAATTGTTTCTGCCTAATGAGATGCTAAGAGCAGCAGTTGGTGAGACCTAAATAGTCTGCACCAAGGCAAAAATTACCTACTGCATCAGTTCAAGTTCAGAATAAACCCTGAAGTATATCTCAGGAGCAGAAACAAGAGAATGGAGGTTAGAGAGCTGGAATTTAACAAAGAAATGACAGTCATTCAAAGTGACAGTTGAAGGTGTAATATATACTTAGTCTTGTCATAGTAATAAACACTAGCTAGTTGCAAACAGTCAGGAATAATAGTGAATTTAGAATATGTGACTCATCAGTAAAATACACATATAGAGCATTTATGTTGTAGACCATATTAGACTTTCAATCTCTTTGGAATGTCTTCCGCATTACGGTTCATTTTGTTTCTTTATTGAGAACTTTGCACATGTGCACTGATAGGAAAGCAACAGGAAGCAAAAGAATTCCACAAAGTGGAAATAACTGCAAAGGAAATTCGGAAAGAGCTTTAGCAAGAAACAGGTCAAGTGAAAAAAATACATTTTATTTAGTGAGCAGCAGAACTACTGAGTCTGGGTTTTTTTTGTAGATTTGTGTCTGAAGTCTGCTGAGTTCTTCCACTTCATTATACCAGCTGTTCTTCACCTGCCAGCAGGGTCTCACACCCACATCTCTTCCCCATGCCTGCCATCCCTGGATCCTCCTTGCTCTCAGCAGTTTGGAGTTCAAATGCAGTAAAACTATGGGTGCTATTCTTGTACTATTAGTGGTGTTTGTATTCAATTTGAAGCTGTGAGTTCAGATCTGGCACAGTGCAGCCTGGTGAACAATAGCTAATGCATCAAAAAGCAGACATAACAAAACGCAGCAAAAGCAGCAAAGCTTGGTTCAAAATTCCTGCTTATTTTCATTTCCCATTTATTTGGCATCTTGCCTTGTCAGACACAATACAGTCTTCTCCGATTGTTTCTGGTTAGTGCAACATATTTCTGTCTTAAATCCTCTCCCTGAATTCAAGTTACACTGCCTGCAGAAGGCATGCAAGGGAGAGCTCATCAATTGTGCACTCTCTTGGGGTGGTGACCCCTGTCAACAAGCTGTTTATGGCTCCCAGGATAGAGCCAAATGGATACCAGTTCTTCCTCTGCTGCAAGGAGCTGTTGACATGATTGCAGCTGATTAAAAAAAAAAAAAACTTTCCATCTTATATGATTGTAAAAGTGAATCATTGCTGTATATAGGGACCCTTCAGGTCAACATCTTTGAAGGCAGTCCTGGGGCCAGTGCAGCCACCTCCCGGGAACGTGCTTGAAGTATACACCCCAGCCGGAGCTGCTGAGGGATATTCTGCAGTAGAGACAGATGGGCGTACAGGATGATTTCTGTATTTTAACATAAAATGCAATAGGAAGAATATATGCAGCACTTTTTTCACGAAGTAAGGAGGGGAATGGACCAAGCAGGGAAAGGCTGGGGAGCTTATCCTTCTGCTTTTCTGAGGAGGATGTCTTTCCCAAGACAGCAGAGGTCACTGTGCTCATTATGAAAGAAGCAGTGAGATTGTGAGGCACAATGGCTGTTTCCATTCTCGGTTAATGGCATCAGTGCCCATCTTTCTCCAGAATGAAATTACTTTTTCAGATTAGCTTTTCTGTAGTAAAAAAAACCAGCACCTTCTTGCTAAAAATAAATATAAATTCTGCGTTTGAGAAGAAACTTTTGACTTCTCATCACCATTAACCTAAGAGGGATTTGAGATTCAAGAGCCCTCAGTTAATCTGAAAGTGCAATAATGAACCATCTTTGGACAGGTTTGGGTCTGCTCACCTGAATACCAGGCAGATTTTTAATGATAGTTGCCAATTGCAAGACAAGCCCAGGAAAATATATTACTGTGCAAATTTCTCAGGAGAGGAGCCCAGCTGTGAACACAGCAGATTTGGAGTGTTGGTGCCCATGCGGGCACAGTGGCACAACAGGGAAGAGAGAAGAGGCTGGCAAGCAAGCAGAGAACGTGATAAGCTTGGTTTTTCAGTCGAGCATTTTCTGTTTAGTCCTTGGGATTGTCAGTGCTGTATTAGCTACTTTGTGTATATTAAGGTTCTGTCCTCCTCAATGTAAAATCAAATCTAGGTTTATTTTAACAACTAACATTAAAATTTAATGTTTTCTAAGTTTATAGGAAGAAATATCAGGCTGACATTTGCTTGCTTGTCCAACTGCTAATTTTCTTCCTAGCAGCAGCAGGCTGAACACTGGGCAGGAGAGGGCAGCAGTGGAGTGTCTGAGCTTCCAGCTGTGAGGCAGAACATTTCACAGAATCACAGAATTAGAGAGGTTGGAATGAACCTTTGGAGATCATCCAGTTCAACCACTTGCTAAGGCAGGTTCCCTACAGTAGATTGCATAAGAAAGTGTCCAGGTAGTTTTTGAATGTCTCCAGAGAAGGGAATCCACGACCTCTCTGAGCAGCTTATTCCAGTGCTCTGTCACTCGCGAAGTAAAAAAGTTCTTTCTCATGTTCAGATGGAACTTTCCATGTTCTCCTTTGTGCCCATTGCCTTTTGTCCTGTCACAGAGCACCACCAAAAAGAGCCTGGCCCCATCCACTTTTCTCCTTCCCTTTAGGTCTTTATAAGTATTGATAAGATAAAGGCTGAACAGCCCCAAATCATTCAGCCTGTCTTCCAGGTCCCTATTCATCTTTGTAGCCCTCCAATGGACTGTTTCCAGAAGTTTCCCATCTGCCTTGAACTGGGGAGCCCGGAACTGAACACAGTACTCCAGATGTGACCCCACTGGGGCAGAATAGAGGGGAAGGATCACCTTCTTCAACTTGCAGGCCACTTTCTTTTTAATGCATCCCAGGGTATCATTGGCCTTCTTGCCCACAAGGGCACGCTTCTTGCTCATAGTCAACTCAGCAAGACACCTACGTCTTTCTCTGCAGAATTCCTTTCCAGCCAGACGACCCCTAACCTGCATGTGATTATTCCTCCTCACATTTAGGACTACACTTGCGCTTGTTGAGCCTCGTCAGCTTCCTCTCTGCCCTACTCTCCAGCCTATGCAGGTCTCACTGAATGGAAGCACAGCCTTCTGGTGTGTCAGCCACTCCTCTCAGCTTTGTATTATCAGCAAACTTGCTGAGGATGCTCTCTATCCCTTAATCCAGGTCACTTATGAAGATGTTAAAGAAGACTGGACCCAGCATCAACCCCAGGGGTGCATCAGTAGCTACAGGTCTCCAAGTATACTGCACCTCTGATCACAACTCTCTGAGCTCTGCCAGCCAGTTCTCAGTCCACCACACTGTCCCCTCATCTGTCCCACACTTCCTAAGCTTACTTATGAGGGTGCTATGGGACACGGTGTCACAAACCTTGCTGAAGTCAAGGTACACAACTTCCACTGCTTTCCCTCACCTACCCAGCCAGTCGTGATATCTCAGAAGACTATCAGATTGGTCAAGCATGATTTCCCCTCAGTGAGTTCATGTTGACTACTCCTCATAACCTTCTTTTCTTTCACTTGATTGGAGCTGACATTTCAGCAGGAACAGAGGCACACTTAGGAAGTACATTTCATCTTTGTTGATGACAGGGTGAAGCTCTTAGAACACCATTTGTTTTTTCCAAATAAATGTTTTTGTTTCATAGACACGCTGCAAATGAAATTCAAAACTGTTTAGTGGCTAGAGCTCAATAATTCTATTATTGATATTAACATTTTGGTTTTATTTATTGTAATAAAGAGAGAGACATTTACTGTTGGTACTGTGAAAAGCGAGGTAGCAACTTGTTTTGCCTGAGGGTAGTCTGGAATGTCAAACCCATGTATTTAGGTATTTTCCTGAGCTGCAGTATGTTCAGTCTCCTGTAGGCTTGCATCCCTACTTCTAGCTGTTTGTGTTGGAATTTGTGGTGTGGCTGAGCAGAGGGAATGCACCAAGGCATAGTTTAATTCGGAGGCAATCAAAGCATTCAACATGAAATGAGGAGAGCCTGCCTTGCCCTCTGACACAAGACAGCAACTGAGCCCTTTAATGCAGCCCTTTCCTAGAACAGTGGTGTTGAAACGGCTTGGTAATCAGTGAGCAGATGAATGGATGCCCTGTGATTCTGTTCACTCTGCTATCCTAATCATCTCTGCCTGCTCCTGGAAGAGTTCCTTGCTGAATTTATCTTTCTCAGCCACCCAACAAAACTAGTTCTTGCAGGTTGATTTGGGTGCTTGCTGGCAGGGGAAGAAAGTGATTCTCAAAACAGGACAAAATCCCTCCTTTTTCTCTACAAAATTAATAGAAACACTGCTTAAACAAGCACAATGCTAGTTCACCAGTGGGAATGGAAATTAGGCAGTCTGGACTAGAGTAAGAAAAGTTAGCCAGCTGAGCCAAAGTATCCATACTGCAGCCTTTTCTTTGTCTTCTGAGATCAACTTGAGTGATTCAGTCTTCCTAGAAGTCGTTGAGTCACTTGCATTATTGAGTACAGCCCAGAAAGATTCAATTAGTTCCTTACTAACCTTGTTTCAAGAGCCTGTAGAAGAAGACTAGATTGTTATTTATGGTAACACAGATCGTTTATGGGGCACTGTCAGCAGATGCTGTCCAAGCATTTGCCAGTACAAACTTGGAACTTCTGCTCCTTAAACTCCTCTAACATCCATGTTGCAACCACTGATGTAAAAGCGAGCATGGGGTCTGAGCTTAGCTTTTCATGCCTCTATTCAGTTGTACTCTGGGTTCAACTGAACTCCAGTTTTGAACCCTCAAAGTCACAGATATAGAGAAAGACTGTGCTGAGCATGCAGACACTGGCAGCTGTGTTTGTTTTGCAACTATGAGTATGGTCAACTGATGAAGGTCTTTTGTGCTCACATTGCTGAATGAAATTTCCCTGTGCAGTAAGTGCATGGAAAGGAAACAGGAGGCAAAGATTCAAAGAGGAGCTCAATTAAAAGGAAAAAAATAGCATGTTTAATGACTGACCTTAATGACATACTTGAGTAAAAATCTGCTTTGCTTTAAGCATGCTTAAGGAAAAAGCATGGTTTAGACTTATTCAGAGGCTTTTATAAAATTTCATTCTTTCTTTTCCCTTCCAGAGCCATCCTCTTAGTATCTCTTCCCTTTCTTGTCCTAACAGTTCTGAAATATTTACTTCCACCCCATTATCTTTTATGGTACTTAGCAGCATAGTCATTTGTTATTTTTAGAGCTGTCCAAACAGCAGAAGGTTTTATTGCAGTTTTGCATGCTGCCTACTAATGTCACTTTAATTTTTTTGAAGCACATACGTTTGTGTGTATATCACGGATTCTCTACTTGAGTGATGTTCTGTTTCCCTTCTGTTTATTCTCCAAACACAGCTGAGGCTGAAGTTCTGTTCTCTGGAGTTCTATTCTGGCCTTGTCATCTGAGTTAGTTGTTGGGGGATAGTTTTGGTATCATTTGTTGGAAGGAAGTCATTTTGTGCAAAACAAGGCACAGTCAGTGTGAACAGGGGAAGGATTCCCTTCAAAACTCTTAATCCAAACTAAACTCTAACATTGGTACGTGTGATGGGACTTAAACGTCTCCAACATAAAGTTGCTTTTGAATGTGAATTAGAATTAGAACTCTACAGGCATTTTTTGTCAGAATGCACAGTAATTGGCTTTAAGTGTAGTTGTGCACAGGTAACTGAAGCGGCAATAATAACAAGCCTATGTTCTATCTTGGTTGTTTGTGTTTGATTTTTTTTTTTGA